CTTGCAGAACACGACTACAAATTAATGAATTCCATCAGTTTTTAGTTGTTATAGTAATTTAGTAATTCACGTTAACTGAGTTAATAGATAAGCAATAAACTGTATGACTGCTGTTACACGGCTTATTCAAAAAACAACTTGAATTATTATTCTAGTGAAAATTAGTGAAATATTTAACAAAGCTTAAGCAATCGTAGCATAAATAAACATTCTGTAACACAAGTGACCATTAATTTTAAAATAATATGTGCTTAAAGCCTATTCCAAAATGGTATCATTCATCATTGTACCTCAGGTAAATAGTGAATTAATGTTATTCGTTTTTATAAGGAGTGAATTTTTTTTAAACAATAAAGTTTGTAATATTGAGCTTGTAGATTTCATTAAGATTCAAAGGCGTCAACTTGACTGTCAGTATACGAAACCTATCCAAATGCAGAGACGTGTAAGACAGGGTGACGTTATATCCTTGAAGCTCTTCACCGCTGCATTGGAAGGTGTTATCAAGCTACTATACTGAAAAGTATACGGTATTTACATCAATGGCGAGTACATCACGCACCGACGCACAAGGATGCCTCTGTGGCGGCGACTAAACGCACGGACCATACTGGACAGGTGTGTGGCGGCACTGTCGTCGCGCCACAAGCGAAACACATCGAGGCCTAAATCAAAGTTCCGAAGTAAAAACACTGTATATAGAATAGCTCGGAACTATTACATGGAGCGTTGGCCGTTCCCCGGGCCGATCTCCTTGCTCGGCGGGAGATCTTCCCTTTTCCTTCCACGGCCACACCTCGTAATGATGATGATGATTAAAATACGTTTTTTTAATGCTATGGTTGCTAAAACTTTGTCAAAATGAACATTTTGAACTAATTTTGCACAAGAACTATAATTCAAATTGTTTTTTGAAAAAGCCGTGTGATAGCAGTCTTACTATTTATTGCTTACCTATCAGCTCAGTTAACGTAAATTACTATAACAATAAATAAGCGATGGAATTAATTAATTTGTGGTATTGGTGTGCAATAATGTAAAATAAGGTAAAGCAAATATCGATATTATATGAAAAAAAAACACATCTTTGGTACTACTTAGTTATTTTATTTGTATTTTTTCTGAATGCCTATTAGTTCTACCAAAACCCATTTCAAGGTTATCCATTAATTACAGGAGACCTTGTATGAAACATCGATTATATTCAACAAAGCTTTATCTACTTAGATGAATATATTCTTAGTCCTCAGGGGTGACAACACATCTGCATTTTGACATTTTATCGAGGATAAATGTAGATGCCTATGGGCCAAGGCATCTAGATACCATCTGGTGGACTGTTTGGCACCTTTATTCCATTGAAAAAAAAAAAACTATCATAGCAATACCCTCTGTGTACGTTCCGTGACACAAATCAAGTGTCAATAAAATAAACACTATTATTATTCCTTGTGAAACCCATACTAAGTCTAACGATGATTTGTCAGAATTATACCGGCTGAATTGAAGTAGATGTCATAGTAAACTTTCATGATATATTTTAAAAATTTAAGAATTAAATAGCTAACGTAAAGATTGTGCTTTACCAAGTTTGAATAACACCTTCCTCCCTTCCACAACTGCGTGCACTGTCACTGCCATCACTGAGCCTAACACCACTTCACCTCTACTTTACTCGGATATTTACTAAATAATTTTAACAAAAAAATGATGCCTGATTCTACTGCATTATTACAAGGTCTATAATGAGGACATCCGCAGAAGAACAAGAGTAACCCCGTGTTGGGCTTCTCCCTAAATGGTGTGTTGACTTGCTAAAAGATGCAGGTCGTCGATGGATACATTTTTTTATAGAATACCGGCGACAACAAGCACATAGTCCAACTGATGTTTAGCGGATGCTGTGGCCCTTAGACATCTACATCTATCCTCGATTAAGAATGACAATGTAGATGCGCTGTCACTCCCGAGGACTATGATGGCATGCCTCCGTTTTTTGTAGCATTGTATGTTCAGCAATGGACTCGTTATGGGCTGTAGAGATAGTAGTCATGTGTATGTAGTGACTTTCATTGGGTTTGTCACAAACATTCCAAGCAAGATCGCTCTCGCATAAATGATACAACGGCATCGGGTGTCGGCACTTGCGGTATCTATTATGCCCGTAAATAGTTTTCAAAGATATTTCGAAGGTGTCACCTTTGGCGAGCACGGTATGTTAAGTTCACTGGAACGGCGTGTTGAATTTTAAGTAAATACTTAGCATTTGACTAGTAATTTTATAGTTGGACTATTAACCAGAATATTTATATAAGATATTTCGAAGGTGTCACCTTAGGCGAGCACGGTATATTAAGGTTAATGGAACGGCGTGTTGAATTTTAAAAAAATACTTAGCATTTGACTAGTAATTTTAAAGTTGGATTATTAACCAGAATATAATTATTTTGAAAGTAGGTTAAACATTATGTATTCAAATATCATAATAAGCCTAACAATATGTGCCTCTTTCTTCATCGGTCCATTAAAGACCACTGCTGGACTTCCAGCAAATCCTTTTCAGATATGCCTTAGTCGTCACGGCAGAATTGACGGCTGCAGTCCCAGGCGTCTCATAACTTAACCGCCACTGCCTAATTGTTATACTACCATTTATCTTAAGCCAAAATATCTTTCTGGAATTTCTCGTACCACAGTTACGATATGAAATGGAGTTGTAGATTTTTAACGCTTACACCACAGGTCAATTTTTCATCATCATAAATATTAGATGTAAATAAACGTAACCACGTGTGGCTTATAGTCAGAAAACTTTATCGAGGCCCATAACCTTCAACAGAATGCAAATAAAAATAAATAGGTATGTAATAAATAAAAGGTTTTCTTATTTTTTATTTTTATAATTCCGAGAAGGCATTGTAGCCTTTATAAGAAAGGCTGTGATATGGCGAACTATATGCCTTTCTACAAAAGTTTGGTACATTGTGAGCAATTCAACTCATTGACGTGTTGTATATATATATATATATATATATATATATATATATATATATATATATATATATATATATACAACATGTAACATAATTAACGCACTTTACGTGGTAGAGCCATGCTGCAGTTATATTAGTAGTATAGTTGTAGCACGAATGGGTCGGCTCGACCGGGGAAGGACCACGCTCTCACAGAATACCAGCGTGAAATAGTAGCTTAATGCTGCTGTATTTCGTATGGTGAGTGTAGAGAACCGGAGACCCTTGTTACTGGAAATGAGGCATTCCATCTCAGTCCTCGCGGGTGACAACGCATCTGCATTTTGATTTGTAATGGAAGATAGATGTAGATGTCTATGGGCCGCAGCAACCATTTACCATCAGGTGGACTGTGTGCTCGTTTGTCACCCTATTCTATAAAAAAAAAAAAAAAAAAAAAACTTTGAGAAAGTAGTTTGTTCAGAATCGTTTACTGAATCGAGTCCTATCATTTTTAATATAGGTAATTTTTTATCCCTAAAATAATTAAAACTACGTAAATTACAGTCACACTAAATCTGTACAGTCAAAACAAACTGAAATGGACCGTAACTTAAGGCAATAAGACTTTAAGAGTGCAGTTTTATTTGTATTATTAGTAATTCTGTCATTCAATCAAAATAAAGAAAACAGAACTTTATTTTAAGCATGTTAGTCTTTGCGTTCGTGGATTTGTACTGTGACCACAACATTCTTCTGAAATTAGTATAACTAATTTGATAAATAATCAGTGCATAAAAATGTTTAACTAAAAATCAGTGTATGTATTATGATTATAACATAATATACTAATTGGGGTGTCTCTGAGAGTGTGCGTTAATTACGTAACATATTGTATATATATATATATATATATATATATATATATATATATATATATATATATATATATATATATATATATATATAATGTTAACTATCGTAAAAAGATATTAATAATAATAATAAGTTTATTATTTCCAAGAGGTTGCACATCAAGGTATTTGCTTGACATTTAATAAAGCTACATTGGTACATATACCTGAAAACATAGCATCTGCAGCCGAACTAGGAGACCTGTGCATCATCTGTCAGCGCCATATCCCCACCGTTAATTTATAAAAATATTAGGATGCAAGCAAAAGTTAAATGCAGGCAAAAATTAAAGTTACAATAAAATTAATTGGATCACATATTACGTTTATATACTATGTTACCACTTATTACTTATACCAGGGTACAAACAATATAATAATTTATACTACTTACTAATGTCGTTCCTCTCTCATAAGATGTGTAATGTATGACTGTAAGAAGTAATTGTGTTATGAGTGCAATGTGTATGAGCAGTTATGGGAGAGGTGCATGTAAAAGTGTGTGTGTGTGTGTGTGTGTGTGTGTGTGTGTGTGTGTGTGTGTGTGTGTGTGTGTGTGTGTGTGTGTGTGTGTGTGTGTGTGTGTGTGTGTGTGTGTGTGTGTGTGTGTGTGTGTGTGTGCGTGTGTGTTTCTGGTTATTATGATTTTATACGGGTAGTTTTACGGATGACAGTTATATAAGAATTTATGTTTAAGTCTAAGAATTATACTATTATTATATTATTTAATACTAAGAAGGTTTTCAGTTTCATTATTTTCATTTTTACAATTTATTTTATTAAGGTGGTAAATGTCTAATGTTTTATTTAGTTTATTATATAAGTGTGGTCCCAAAAATGCAAAGAATTTTCTTATAAATTTAAAAATTCTGAAATTCTTGTTACAAAACAATAGAGAAATCTAGTCAGATTTTTGGTTTAAATAGTTACTTATTTGTATTACATCCATTTAATTCCTAGAGATTCAATGATGTAATAGGTAATGTCCCTTTAATGTGGGATCGCCGCTTAAGGAAACTGCACTTTAATTCTGACGTAGGTATTGGTTTCTATATATAAGGTCATCCCATGATTTTATTATCACTAAAAGTATCCAATTAGTGAGGAATACAACATGAAGTATATAATATCACTGTCATTGTTGATGGCGGTCGCCATCATTTATGTCCATGGACAAGGAGTACCGATAGGTGAGAAACTCATCAAATATTAGCACAGCTTCCATGCACTTGTTGGAGATTTTTTTTGCTTTAAAATAATTTAAATTAAATAAAACCTGTTCGAAAGCGGTATTTCTACGTTAACTTATATAAACTCGATGGATGCAGGTGGCTCAGGACCGTCGGCTTTCTTCGGGGGAGGCCTAATATCAGCAGTGGACTTGTAATTGGATGTAACTATAATAATAAATAAAGTAAAGACTTTATAATAGTATTACATTATTAGATAATACGATTAAGGAAATGATGAAATGCAATTTATATACCACATAACAATGTAATTAACAAGTTGCATTTATTTATTTTACAGCGAACTGTCCACCTGGCGAGCATTCAGTTCTCTACTGTCCGCGAATGGCAGAGCCGACTTGCGACAACCCTACGGTTCATAAGTCACAAGTAATGAAAGCATGCGGCGTGCCTGACTGTTTTTGTAATACACCTACAGTTCGTGATACAAAGACTAAGAAATGCGTCAATGAGTTGGATTGCTCACAATGTACCAAACTTTTGTAGAAAGGCTTATAGTTCGCCATATCACAGCCTTTTTATAAAGGTTACAATGCTTTTTCGGAATTATAAAAATAAAAAATAATAAAACGTTTTATTTATTACATACCTATTTATTTTTATTTACATTCTGTTGAAGGTTATTGGCCTCGATAAAGTTTTCTGACTATAAACCACACGTGGTTACGTTTATTTACATCTAATATTTATGATGATGAAAAATTGACCTGTGGTGTAAGCGTTAAAAATCTACAACTTCATTTCATATCGTAACTGTGGTACGAGAAATTCCAGAAAGATATTTTGGCTTAAGATAAATGGTAGTATAACAATTAGGCAGTGGCGGTTAAGTTATGAGACGCCTGAGACTGCAGCCGTCGATTCTGCCGTGACGACTAAGGCATATCTGAAAAGGATTTGCTGGAAGTCCAGCAGTGGTCTTTAATGGACCGATGAAGAAAGAGGCACATATTGTTAGGCTTATTACGATATTTGAACACAAAATGTTTAACCTACTTTCAAAATAATTATATTCTGGTTAATAGTCCAACTATAAAATTACTAAAACTACTTTTACGGATTTTATCGCGTTTTATTTATATTAATTTTAGTACCCGACGTTTCGGGTGCTTTCCAGCACCCATGGTCACAGGGGACTGAGGTGACTGACGTCCCGATGCCAAAGTTAACCCGGAGTACCCTCAGCTTTTTAATTATTTTCTTTGGTCCGATCTACGCAGAATGAACTAACTGTATTTTGAAGTCTTGCAGTGGTATGCTTGGGTTTAGTTTTAATTTTATTAATTATAGGATCCCAAGCAGGTGGTAGTACCCAGCCTCCTTCTCTATTGAAATTAGGATGTTTTTTAATTTTAATAGCCTCACGTATCATATTTGGTAGGAATTGATGTTCTTTCGCGAGGATTTGTGGTCTATCAAATCTGATGTAATGGTTGGGGCCATCTAGAATATGATCGCAAACTGCAGACTTCCCGGAACGTTGATGCTTCACGTCAGCTATGTGTTCTTTTACGCGGGTTCTAATTGATCTCTTTGTTTGCCCTATATATGAGAGACCACAATCACAATCAAGCTTGTACACTCCTGCATCTTGTAGAGGAATATGACACTTGACACATGGTAAGAACTGACTAATCTTCTTCGGCGGCTTGTAGAATGTTCTAATAGAAGCTCGCTTCAAGATGTAGCTAATCTTGTCTGTGACACATCTGACATATGGTAGTATAGCAGGACACGCTCGACTGTGGCCGGCTTCACTCGGTCACTGTGACGGAGGCGCGGGACCCGAAGCTTGTTGTCGTGCAGAACCTGCTTGACGTGCTGAAACTCGGCGGCCAGGTGTTTGCTGTCACAGATCCCTCGCGCTCTCTGAAACAAAGATTTGCCCACGGTAGCTAACTGTGAAGGATGATGGTGAGATTCACCATTTAAGTATCGGTTTGTATGGGTCTTTTTTCTATACACAGTATGACCTATGGTGTTGTTAGGATTTCGGATGACTAACACATCTAGGAAAGCTAAGGAATTATTTGCCTCTAACTCCATAGTAAATTGAATTTTAGGGTTTATGGAATTAAGATGTTCTAAAAATGCAGTTACTTTGTCTGATGGTATAACTGCATTTTTATATATATATATATATATATATATATATATATATATATATATATATATATATATATATATAAATATATATATATATATATATATATTAGAGTTGGGCCTGATTAGTCGGCGATTACACGCCGATTAGTCAGTTTTTTATATTATTAATTTCAGCAAAGGATTTTCGTGATTTTCTGCGTAGTAACTGCGGCTAAATTGATATGAGTAAAGCTTTAAATTTAATAAAAATAAATAATTCTGGACATAGGAACTTTGGTAAAAAAAAGAATCTGAGGTAGCTATTTAAAACTAAACAAAAACCTAAGTACTTACTATTTTTAACTTTTTCTAATCGTAATGCGGAGTAGTGACAAAACAAAATAAAATATTAATAATATTACTCTTAATAAACTTAAAAAAAAACAATTTTAGATCTCTCCCTTTGCATAACAAAAAAAAAACCTAATTCTTGATAAAGTTTGTTAAACCATACGCATGTAGATTTTTAAAAGACTAATAGAATATACTTGTTTCTGTACTTAAAACTAAATTGTTATTGTTTTTGTATTAAAAATTAAATCAAATTGTTATTTTTCTGTACTTAAAATTACAATAAATTGTTCTTTTTTCCTGTAATGTTATTAAATAAAGAATCTATAATCATCTAATAATTTGTTAAAAAGAAATACTCAATTTGAAAAAGTATTGAATGCTTTTTAGAAAATATTTATTTTATTTGTTATTTTAACCAGTGGCAAATTGTGATGCGAAAAGGCCAAAATCTCAGCCTTTTCTGGTTGAAGTTGATTTATTTTTATTTTTGTAGATAATAGTTATTCCCTGCATCAGAAAAAAGTCTCTCACTATACACAGAGCTGGCGGGGCAGCAAAGGAAAACTTTGGCTAAACGGGACATTTCTGGATATCTGGAAGAATTTTTGTTCTACCAATTGAATTTATCATCGAAAATAATCAATATATATATATATATATATATATATATATATATATATATATATATATATATATATATTGATTATTTGAAATACATATTTTTAGAATAAGGATGAAAATCGAGCACATAGCCAACCTGGTGATAAGTGGATGCTGTAGCTCATATATGTAGCTAGACTGTGATTGTGCTATTATTAATAACAATTGTTAACTATAGACTTTTTTTTAACTTAATTGTTTTCTATATTTAAATTAAATAATTTCTAAGAATTAAATGACACAAAGTTATTAATGAATTTTGTTTAAAGTGCCGTCTCATCAATCCATTGCAGCCTCCCAAAAGTCCACTGCTCAAGAACATAAGCTACCATCGCCTCCCTCTTAGGTAAGGTTGCTTCACGTGTTTCTACGTTGTGGGGGGTTTTGAAATGGTTTGTGTAAATATTTGAATTTTAACGTAATAGTAAAAATCGGTAAAAACTAATTTTATTTAAATGTGTAGTGTTCGCGTAAATATAATAAATCATTGTCCGAAAAGTAAATTATAAATATTTTTTTTGCATTAGAATAAACGATTCGTTCGTCTCGTAAAACTGCACCTTTACTCCGGGGAATAACATTTAACGTTATCGTGTACGAGTACGTACGCAATAACATATGTTTGATTTCCTCGATTTCTTTTTATACTTAATTATTTTTACTTTGACTTGATAAGCGTATACATTTCAAGACCTACTTGAAATGTGTATACATTGTATGACCAAACCGAATTCAATATTCACCAGCACCAACTAATTTTTTTTTATAAAATTATGTCGCAGTCGCACTTCCAATCCCTCTGGTGGTAAATGGCTAGTGCAGTACATGGTCATCTGCAGCCAGTTTCAAACAAAGAAGGCTACTGATACGTTTTCACTTCTAAAGACTAAGACTAAATGCCTCACAGCCCGCAATTACACAGACTCTCTCTACCCTCCAGACCGGAACACAGTAGTGCAAGCACTGCTATGTGTCGGAAGAAATAGGTAAGATGGTTGTACCTATCTAGATGAATTCCTGAGTAGAAAAATAGTGCTATCACTACGTAAATTACTTAATAGTGCAAGTATAAAATTAAGTTTGTTGTATTAAATTTCTGTGTTTTAGTGTATAGTAGTAAAATTGCCGGTGCGAAATAGTCAAACCTGCGATGTCTGAGATATCAAACCTTTGTTGCAAAAGCCGAGCTAAAGTAAGGGCTTAGCGCTTGTCGTAAAATTCTCAGTAAGCGAATAACTCAAATTCGATGCCTGCTTGTTCAAATGAAATTGTTACTTGCAATGCTAGGTATTGATATTTACCTAGTACTCAGAGCTGATTAAAATATAGTGATGAAACTTGCATGTCTGAAGAATAAAACTTTTGGAGCAATGCAGTCTACTTATAAACAATCGTAATTAAAGTATTTATGAAATGTCAAACTCATTTGATTTTATACCCATTCAGCAAATGCTACATCATTAGGAATTAATTAAATATTCTGTGCGGGACTTGATTGCATTTATTGCTAATTTTTGTACGTGGTAGAGCCATGCTGCAGTTATATTAGAAGTATAGTTGTAGCACGAATGGGTCGGCTTGACCGTGGAAGGACCACGCTCTCACAGAATACCTAATAAATAGTAGCTTAATGCTGCTGTGTTTCGTATGGTGAGTGAATGTAGATGTCTATGGGCCACAGCAACCACTTATCATCAGGTGAACTGTGTGCTCGTTTGTCACCCTATTCTATAAAAAAAAATATTTAAATAAGAACTATAGGAATATCGATTTTTATTACATTTTATATTTTATGTAATAATGATTAAATTTAAATTACAATTATAACGTAAAACTCGATGGGCAGTAGTTTCAAAGGTGATCGACGCCTGACACCTCGAACGTTAATCCGTCTGCCAAGCGTAACGAATAAAGCAATCCTTCCTATGACGGGGAACGCAGATGTTTGAATTACCAACATACTTACTTACTTACTTACTTATCTTCACGCACAATTCCTAACGGGGTAGTCAGAGAGAACAGATCGCCAAGTTTCACGATCCTTACATACCTCTTTCGCTTCTTTCAGGTTCATTAACTTCTTCATACATGCACGTCTAGGTATCCGAGTACTCTTGACCTTCCCCTCTTCGAGCAATTTGCTCACATGGTCTTCGAAAGTTAGTCTCGGTCTACCTCGACACCTTTTAATATTTACTTTCGCTCTATATATTTTCTTCACCATTCGGTCTTCACTCATTCGCTCAACGTGCCCAAACCATTGGAGTACGCCCCTATCAATTTTTGTGATAAGGTCATCTTTCAATCCTGCCATATTGCGAATCTCTTCGTTACGCTTTCGATCGGCTATGGTAACGCCACACATTTTACGAAGAGATCGCATCTTC